TTTAAACTGGTAATTCTAAATTGTTAATTGGCTTATAATTTCAGGAATATGGTGGGCAAAAAATATATTTGCATTTTTTATATTATATGCAAATGACTCTTAAACTATAGATTTTTTTTTTATAATTATTTGTCTCCACACGTATCATTGATAAGATGAAGTAATTAAGGTTACTGTAGTCTTCCCACGAATTTAAAAGTATAAGATATAACTTGTTTATAATTTCCGTGTATAATGGGATCCAACAGCTTTCATGTTCATAACAAATTTCTAATCTATTTATAATTTATAATTACGATTTCATGGTTTAACATCGCGGCTGGATAAAGAAATTGGACACCTTTAAGTTCTTGAATAGTGTTTTTTGGAGTCAGGATTTTCTAAAATAGTGGATTTTTTGCCCTTCTTTTTTATCTTTTTAAAGGTGAGTTATTATATATGCCAAACAAGAAGCAAAAAACACGTGCTAGAATAATGATGAATGAAGTTCAGCATAAAGTGAAGCTCACAACGTGCTTAATTTGTTTGATTGACTATTGAATCAAAGACATTAGAAAATCAATTAGTGTTCAAAGACTCGCGTGCACTTTGACATAGTAATAAATCGTTGAAGTATGATTTGTCCGCGACATTATATAAAATTTATAGCGAAGCTACTAAACTACAACATTGACTAGTCATGCATAATAGAGGTCACACGCAATATCCATATGATTTAGTCCTTGATCTAATCTAGACAGCCAATGCATCGGATTTGTATCTAATTACAATAACATGATATTATTCTAGAATATATAATACATAAAAAATTCAAATATTTTGATTTAATTAAAAATAAGTATCTTAAATATGAAAGATTAAGTACATATTTTTTTTCGTATAATCATACTAATAAAAAAGGAAGGCCTTGTGAGTTATGAGCATGTATACCTATAACATCTCAAATTTTAATTACTGGATTGTCAAGAAATTAATCAAGTTTAATTATAAAAATTGAGTGATTTGATGTCGCGTGTGGCCAGAAGGGTTTAATATATGTAATCGGTTGTAATTTCAATCCTAATTATGGGTTTGAGGTAAACTCGGGTTACTTAGGCATCAAAAAGAGGAGAAAAATGTGAAGGATTGCCTTTGTGCCATATGCCATGGCATGCAGCACATTTGTTGTGGCACACAGATGACCATTGAAGTGAGAGGACCTTTTTGTGCCATGCGTCATGGCTCATGACTAAAATTTTTGATAAACTAATCGTGAACTAAGACAAAAAACAGAAAAGAAAGAAGAGAAAAAAAGGAGCTTATCTTTATTCTACTAGAGTTTGTCGCATTGGTGATCTGAGAGTATTTTGATGTTAGCAAACACATAAATTAAGTGTCTTACACCCTAAACTTCCTTTCTCTTTCATTTTCTTGAAGTTTTTGTTTAGGGTATGATAATATGAGATAATTTTTTGTCTATATAGGTTATGGGTCCGAACCTATCAACTCAAATAAAATTAATGGGAGTTGTTTAGAGTATTTAAACTAAATATTAATAGTTTTAAAGGTTATTATAAGGTAAGTGCCATAAATATCTAAACATAGCATCACTGAGGGTTGTTGGAAGAGTTGCCATGTCATTAATGGAGATTTAATGATTCATTAATGATATTGAGAGTTAAAGATAGTTAATAAATCCAATGAGTAAGTCCAAAGGTGAGAAGTAAAGATCTTAGGTGGTGTAGAAGTGAAAGTGTGAGAGTTGGAATTGTGTTCATGATAATGTTGATGAGTTTAGAATTGATTAATTATATATTGTGCATTTGGGCACCATTCTAGTTGGGGGAATCAAGCTTGAAGGTAAATTATTATGGAAATTTTTTTTAACTTTTTAAAAATTTGAGGTAACCGAAAAAACTTTATTTTAGGTAGTTATTTATTAATTATTCGTTAATGTAAAAATAGGTTTACGTATGTGAATTATTGATCTTGTTGATGTGATAACATGCTATGCGACATGTGTTAGTGCACTTGCTTTGATTTGAACCAAAATGCTAGGATGACTTTGAAATGTATTTCAAACTATAATTTATTTTGAAATGTGAAATTGATGATTGTTATGAAAATTTTGATTGATGATTAAGTATAATAGAATATAGATGATTGTGTTGAGTTTGAAAGTAGTAATAAATTGTAATATATTTAAAAATGAGATTTAATACTCACTTGAGTAGCGCATGGTTGTGAGCTAAATGTGTTAATTTTAAAAATAAAATTGTAAAAAATGAATGGGCATCATATATTGCATGATCAGTTATAGGAGTCTGATAATAAGTTGGGTTATTGTCATTTATTTGTGTATCTTATGACAATGTATCTTGCGATTGAGATGAGAATGAGTTAATTAAAAAAATAATAATTTGTGTTACATGTGCTAATGTGTATTTTGAGGAAATCAGCTTCAATCATGTGTGTATTTATTCAACTGATATACAATTATATATGGTAGGCTTACTTTAGCTATTAAGTAGTTACACTCACCATTTTCCTTTAATATTTTATAAGCTATAGCTCTGAGGTAGAGGGAAAAAAAGCTCTGAAGGCTTAAGAATTTGAGTATTCCTATTGTATGCCTCTTTAATTTATTTATTTTGTGTAATAGATTGAATATTGCGCATTACGATACATTTTGTTTACACCTACACTGTATAGTTGTTTGTAATGTTTGGAATGTATTTTAAACCTTGAGATATTGTTTATAGTTATTGTAAATGTTGATAAGGCTAAAATACTAGTATAAGTGTAGTAAGGTTGTTTTGAATGGGATATGAATGATTTTTTGGTGAAATACAGTGTCAAAACCTCTCCTTATGTTTTTGATATTAAAGGAATTGAGGGATAAAAATGTGATATAAAGGTTTATATGTGCATGTGGTGTGATGTACTATTAGTTATAGATTCAATGAATATAGTTTAAGTGTTAAGAATGATTTTTGGCACTTATAAGGGGTTTTTGTCACCCTTTTATGGTAAAAATTGTGAAAATGTGTTTGAGTGTCCAACTCTCTGATGTGATTTGATCTGGAAGTAAAACTCATGTCATTAACTAGTTTAGGGAAAGAGTTTTCCATGACACCGAAATAATCTCATTCAGATGTAGGACGGAGAAATTAGGCATATTAAAAACTGCCCAAATTTGTTGTCAAAATGACAATGCAATTTGTTGTCTAACATGTAACACGCTGCGGCGCATCACATGAAGAGCGACAAGTTACAGCACATGGTGCGCGGGGTTAGGGCGCATTGCTCTGTTTTCATAACATTGATATTTTTCAACTCTTTTTACTCCTCTGCTGTAGCCTATATTTTCATAACAATATTTTATTTTGATTAAAGGCCTAACGAATGTCTTTGACTTGTTTTAAATTATGAAAACTTGCGACATCTTTATTTAAAATTACAAATTTGATAATCTCCTTTGAGTTTATACCTTGATTATCATAGATTATGATTTTAATTGTGATTAGATAATAGTGATATTTTAACTTGTTATGAGATTTTACAATGTCACCATGGTCTTGAGGTTAAAAAATATCTTTAATTTTTGAATAAATTAAAAGACTAGTTAATCAAATAAATTTGTTTGAAACCATCTGCTCTAAATAACTATTACGGTTAACTAAAATTGAAGTTATTGACTCAGACCAAAAAAAAAAAAAAACCCTATTGACTATTTGCACCGTTTTTGAAATTGACTCCCAACATCTTGGTTTGTTATATTCAAAATAAAGTCTTTAAAAATTCATGTCCATGGGATCCCTTGTACGAAAGCCGAATCAAGAAAACAATAATAAAAAAAAAACTATTAATTTAGTCAACATATTAAATATACACAAAATTAAATATTAGCGTGACGGGTGCTTAATAAAACCAACCACACAATAAGTTTTAGCTAGTTTAAATTTGAAATAACTGTTAAAATTTTCATTAAATACATGTTCACATGTAATATCTTTATATATATTCATTTGTTTTTTTGGAGCAAACTTCATATATATTCATTTTGTTGACAATTTTTTAGCCCACAAATATATAGTTTGATGACAACAAGATGATATGTCCATACAAAATTACGTACTCACCACATATTTTTTGTTTGACATGACTCATCATATATACCTTGAAAAATTATAAACATCTATCCATCATTTTTTTTTTCCTGGTTAAAAATCTATCCATCATAATAAAACATGGCAGTAAATTACACAGGGCAAGCAACATCATTTACTTTGAATTGTGTGTGGTGCATGTAATATCCCTAATAGTTACTACTATTATTATCATTACCATTAAATATGAAAAAAATTCTGTAAAATTGTTTCAACAACAAATGTAATTTATTTTTTAAAAATTAAATGAATTAAATTTTAAAAGTTTATTACTATTGGGGCATATTTTTAAATTCAAAATATTTATATAAGTACTTGTAAATTATTTATTAATAAAATTATGGATAAAATATTTATTAATTAGACCAATATCTGTTGAGGGTGACAAATGCAATCTAAGAGCGAGCCAAGTGGCAGATTTTTCATTTTTGATGTCGGAGCCCGGAGGAGTCAATTGTCATTCAACTACCACGCTTCGCCAACGCACGCAAAACGACAAACAAGATGTTTTTTTGAGCCAAAAAGGTGGCGCTCACTTATTGGATCTTTTTACAGAACATACCATCAAAGTGGGCTCAATGAAAAACATTATGTAGATTTATTTGGGCCTACCCAAATTATGGCGTCATATAATATTATGTCACAACTCACCGAACGATTCATCTATATACGATTGTTCACCATGTCATCAAATTAGTCACCACCAACCCCCACTTGGAGAATAAGGGCTCATAGAGGAACTCAATTGGAATGTTGGGCCGACCAGACGCGTGGCCCATATTTGTATACCCACTTTGGCTTCATCGGGTCTTTAGTTCGGTTCTTAACGTGTGGTATTGTTCAACGACTTGAGTTTTTATCCAACCAGAAAACTGGGGAAGGACGCAAGAGGAAAATCGCTTTCGTGAACGAGAAGTGTTTCTATTCCGTTTATATCCAGTCTGTCAGCCCCGTCAAAATTTCTCCCAACTTTTCAGCTCTTTTTTCTCTGGAAAAATTTTCTCTCGTTCTTGCATTGGTTTCTTCCATTTTCCATTTTTCTTTCAGTTCAAGAAGATATATTCATGGGGAAGATGAAGTGCTTCAAGGATGAGTTCACTTTTGGTGAGTTTTCTTTTACCCTGCCAATTTCTTTCTTTATCTAACCTGTTCTTTCGTTTCTTTTCTTTTCTTTTTCTTTTTTTGTCCAATCTGTACGATTATCTTGCAATATTATTTACGTCTTTGATTTGTCTTGTTTTCGGTGCAGAGGAACGTCTGAAGGAGTCACAGAGTATCGCAGCAAAATACCCGGATCGAGTACCTGTAAGAATTTGCATAGCTTCGTCTCCTTTTTATTTGATGTTCTGGGAATTGAATCCATATTTGTCCGGACACTAGTTCATCTTCGGTTTTCTTGTTTGGTACTAGTTGATAATTCCCTGTTTCGCGATGTAATTTTCAATCCCCTCCCGGTATTTTAGGATGCCTCTCTTGTTCAATTATCCATTTTCTTTAGTGAATCTTGCAAGTTTATGGCCACTTTTATTCTTAATATGTCTCGGCAGGGCTGTAAAAAATGATTGATTTCCACGTTTTCCATCCCACTTTCTAGCCTCTTTCTCTATTTTTACATACCTCTAATAGCTGGCGGTCGTTGGCGATGTTTGGTGCGAGTGAACTTCCTTAAACTTATTGGAAAAAGGAAATGAAAATATTATTCAGCAATGGGTCTAAGTGTTGTATATTATACACGCATCATGATTACTAAAAAAAAAGGGGGCATGAATGGAACAGATAAATCAGACTTTTATCATGCGATAAGAATGAAAGCAACCTTTGAGCTGTCTTTTGATTATTTCTTTGTATGGGGTGCCTTGCAGGTAGTAATTGAGAAGTATTCTAGAACAGACCTCCCTGAATTGGACAAGAAGAAGTAGGTTCTGGCTGAATGGTTGACTTTTATATTTTTAGAGGGCAATATTTGTTCTGCTAAGTTAGTAACTTGCATTAACATAACAATCACCTCATTTGTGTTCTAACTTCTAAGAGCTTATTGCAAAGTTCATGTTTTACATTTCGGGATATCTCACATCCTCGTGCAATATTTGTTCTGCTAAGTTCATGCTTGTGAGTAGACAAGGGCATGAAACAACTATTTTAGCATATGCTCGGTGCAGTCCATTTATCAATAATGTACTACAGGCTAACATTTGATAGTATTATCTAAAACAGATTTTTCTTTTCAACAACGGATTCTGTTATATTTTGCTTGAGTTTCTCTCTCTCTCTTTCGTCCCTTTTTCAATATCTGCTCTTCCATTGTTTAAGCAAATTTCCACAATTCCGAATTTTTGGGTGTATTAGAGATTGGTGATGATGCATTCAGTGGGTTTCAAATTATGTACTGGAATATTGATGTGTTTAAGCACCACCATCTGTTGGAGGGCCTGATCTCTTTTTATGCATTGCCTTTTGTAGATATTTGGTTCCTCGAGATATGTCCATCGGGCAGTTCATATACATTTTGAGTAGCAGGCTACATTTGCCTCCTGGGAAGGCTTTGTTTATATTTGTAAGGAACACGCTACCTCAGACTGGTAAATGCATCATTTCATTAAATCTTCCCAGATTCATCAATCTTATTTTATCAATGCTAATATGTCATCTCCATGACTTTTCATTACAGCGAGTCTCCTGGATGCCGTCTACAATGCTTACAAGGATGACGATGGATTTCTCTACATGTGTTACAGCAGTGAGAAAACATTTGGCTAGTTTAGGTACTTGATCGGTCATCCTTGTAAGTATTTGCATTCAATTTGGTAGAGAAATAAACGAAATCTTAAGATTAAATAATTGTCTAATGGTGCGGAGTTTGGGTTGTTTAGTCTCAAGACGTAGATTCAAATATCTGCGCCAACATGTAATGAAAAACTTGTCTGACTGGACAGTAGAAATCCTCATGTAAATTATTCATTGTAATCTTAATGAAGTTTACTACTGTAATAATGGTAAGAATTCAAGAGAGTGCATCAGAGCCAATTGTAACTTGCAATTGACTAAGAAAGAACATGATTTTCAAAACAGTTTTGATGGCATCTTGATTCATGTATTCGTTTCTGATATTTAAAATTCCATGCACAGTGGCAATTAGAAAATAGAATTGTAGCAAATACTTCACAATAAAATAATTCACATGGTCTATTGCCAACTCTTTCGCAAAGCCTTGAGTTGTAATATATGTTTTAAGTAGAATGACTTATTTCCTGGCACGTCAAACCTTAGAGATTTTATTTTTAACTTGATCAATTTACCCAAAACTTAAAGATTAAAATTATTTTTTCAATTTTCAAAATATTGAAGATCTTTGAAAGATCTGTTAATAATCTTTTATGATCTCCCAAAATTCAATATATTCATACAGCAGATATTCAGGCCGAAAAAAAAAAATACAGCAGATACCATTGATCCAGTAATAAATTTCATAGGATAGAGTAGCGTTCCCGTTTACTGTTCCAGATTTTGGCCCTCATTTCGTTTCTTTACCAGCAATATTTTGACCTTTAGCCTGTTAGAAAAGACGTTATGTATAGCTAGACTGGATATTTATAGGCCTGGATTAGCCACAGTATTTAAGCCATAATATGTAAGCTTTATTAGGATAAATCTCAAACATTTTGCATAGAATTTGAAATCAGCTACATATCTGCAGAAAAACATAATGATTAGATACCCCCTTCTTTTCCGGGAAAAATGACTAGATACCTTTTTTTTCCAGAAAATAACAAAGTGAAATTAGTTGCAGTAAAGAAATTCAAGTCCCATGGATAAGTGACAAGCTTGCTTTGGTACTTTTCTATATGAATCCCAACACAAAATAGTTACTTTTCCCACAATTTCAGAATCTATCTTCTGCCAGGGTCGGATATCTTGAAATTGGTAGCTTCAAATGTTACAATTTTTGAAGTTTTTTTTTTTTTTTTGGGGGGGGGGGGGTATGCATGAAAACGCTGCCAAAACTCTATGGGAGGTATGCTTTGTGAAATACACACCACGTCATAGCAGCCTATGCTACGAAGATTTCCGTTCCATTCTTGACTTGGTGTAACCCAGGCTTATGAGCTTCTGTATCAGTAGTTTCTCAGCATCTGCCTAAAAAACCCACAAAAGTTGGAATAAAAAAGATTAGTGGTATAGAAATATGGTATTAACTGCTAAATTAATGCATTAACATGTAACACTGAACCATCTCATATATAAGCCGATAGTCATGCAAAAGAAAATTAGAAACAACCATAATAGATAGCTGATTGCAATATTGTGCCGTATCAGCAAGTAACACAAGCAAGTTACATACCAGTAAGCTATAAGGAACAGAACTGTATCGGTTTTCCAAAGGTGACGATTTCTGCTTTCGATGTTGAAATATTTGGCAAATAAAACAGATCACTTTACCGTGCGTAATTCTGTGTGCGTGCACATGTGAGAATGAGCGAGGGATCGAACCTCAAGCATGGGATTATTTTTTGGAACGCTGCAAGCCAAAATTATATTGAGGCCGGTCTTTAACACTGCAAAATGAACAATGTTAGTTCACAAACCAATGTAAGAAACTTTGACTTGTCAAACATGACTTCAGTTACCTAATCGCCGAGCAATGCCTGAACCTGTATTATCAGAAGCTCCACCAAGTATGGAAGTCACAGATGCCATATTGTTCTGTATTAACCAGAATGTGTCAAGATCTATAATAAATATGACATGATAAACTGGGGGAGAGGAAAATGCTAAATAAATATATATATATATATATAATGCAAACTTAAAAGAATAATTCTTACTGGGCGAGTTCGTGCAGCTGCATACATGTGACCAAGTTTGGCGGAGTTGTGACCAATCCACACATAAATCTGTCCCAACCATTAAAATCAAGAGAATGACACAATAGTCAAAGCAATGAAAAACAATGTCCCTATGCTGTACAAGGTACGCAAAATTCTACAAGTACCGAAACAATCCAATTTCTCACAAGTATTTGTCTTAGTTGTCACAATCAGAGAGGGGAAATTATTCGGCAATCGCAGCTAGTAACCTCCAATTTCAAACATTTGGGAAATGATGCCTTGAAAAGTGAAAATTCAAATTATGGCCTAAAAAAATGAAAGTAAAAATTCACCGAATTAAAAAAAAAAAAGTCTATTGGAGAAACTGGAAGAAAAGGTGGAAATAAAGGTTCTGCAATCTACTGATAAAAAAAAAAAAAAGAGGTTCTGCAATCTGGTTGAAAATTCTACCGACCGTACGAAGGGATTGGCCATAAGAAAGATGATGTTTAGAAATGCAACATGATTAAACTGTCCAAAACTGGAGATGAAATTAAAATAAAATTTTGTAATACCTATAAATTACTCAATTGTATGAATATTTGGATATTTGGATTATAAACTTATCCTGATCAAACTAACATTAAAATGGAAGGTTGTCGATGCATTTAAAATTTTCCATACCCAGAAAACATTGCAATGAAGCACAGAAAATAAGTTAATAAGGGCTTTAAAGGCTTAATTTAGGAACAGAAGAATGAATGAATTGAAAACACGTCATTACCATGTATAAAGATCGATCTTGATACATATGCAGCAAATTTTGCTCTCTCCCACCTAACTATCCTTCCTTGCATTGATTCCTAAAGGAGCCTAGAAAATCTCTACTGTCTAGTTAGGAAAGAAACTTCCTTTTGGCCTGAAATTCTCCCTCGTCCGATGCAATGGAACCCAGAGGCTGCCACAGTTCTTTGAAAATAGAATGCAAAAATTTAACAGTTTTACCAAATATACAGAAGACAGTTTAAATTCCAATCCAACCATACTTATCTTAATCCAATTTCAATTGGTTTCCGATTTTTCTGATACGAATTGCAAATATCCACAAGAACCGGACATCAAAAGCAAAACTCTTTCAGAGAAGAAAGTCTAAATCTACAAAATTGCATATTTAAAACTCTTGTAAACTTGCACCGGTAAAATGGCAAGAGCAATATTTAACAGTCAACTGAAGCCCGTAAGGAAACGATAAGCATTATGTTTAGATAGAGAGATCAGGCACCTGCTTGGGGAAGCGAATGATCTGAAAATGGAAGGTGACATCGTTGAGGACTTCGGAAAAGCAAGTGATCTGCAACCCAGCATCATGGTCAGCCCCTTGATCCTCTCTGCGAAATTGCGAGGTGGTCGCAGCATCTTCATTCAATCTCAACTTTTTAATCTCTTCCTCCAACTCCTTAGAATCCATTCTTGTTGCCTACGTCAATCTCCTCGTCGCTCTCGAACTACAAATAATCAAAATCCTCGCCCTTTCTCCCCCAAAACCCTAACCACCACCTATTTGGGACAAGGGCTAAATGGTCTTCTGCTCTTGCATACTTTTTTTTTTTTTTTCCTTTTTCTTTTCCCGTTCCTTACTTCCTTTTATAAAATAGTAGATTAATAGTACGATGTGAATCAAGTGACGCGTGATTCCTGCTCGGCTACTCCTAATTGCACAAAAAATTAAACAAGACTTAGACTTTAACCCAATTCAAAATTTGATCTCCTTCTATAAAATAGATTAAATTAATCAACCTACAATCTAGTCTAATTTAATAATAATTTAAAAATTAAAATTTAGTTTTAGCATTAGAAGAATGATTCAGATGATTCAGTACTCATTTAACTTTTTATCTTTTTTATTTGAGAAGAAATAATTCATTTTATTTTAATAAATTTAATTAAGATAATAAAAAACTTCTAATCATAAAAAAATTCATAACAATTGCTAGCAACAAAAAAATATATTTTAGTTGCAACTCAAATGATTTAAATTCATGACTTCAACAATAATATTAAAAAACCTTCAACAATATATATATATATATATATATATATTTGCCAGAACTTCAATAGTATGTTTTACATACATTATAATAATAATTTAATAACAAACTAAATTAAAACTATATTAAAGAACATGGTGAAATGTGAATGAAGGAAACATTGTGTTTAAACTTGCATATTAAAAATAATTTAAATTATATTAAAATAATTTTATAGGATCAAACTAGATCAAGTGGTCTGAGAGCTTGATCTCTTATTTTGTCTAACTTTAGAAGTTAGTCTTTTTTTTTTGTCTCTTTAATCCTTTGAACGAAATTTTTTGTTGGATCAAAATAAAGTAGACTTGGTCGAATTGATCTGGATTGGATAGGGTAATTAAACTTTTGCATAGCTCTACCCAAGTCCAAACAATGACGACATTTGTTTTAAGTATTTTTCATGAAGAAATAATCAAAATCTAAGTAATAAATATTTTAATAAAAATAATTTATTTTTTAATAACCAACCTCAACAAACCAAATGGCAATAACTACCATTATTATTATTTTTTTGGAAAAACACAATGTTTAATCCTTGTAGTTTCATAGTATTTTGTTTTTAGTCCTTATATTTTATTTTTATTGTTATTAGTTCTTATAATTTTTGTCGTCTATAATGTTAGTCCATCTGGTTATTAACAATGTTAAATTTGCCAAGCTGTCATTAACACTATTAAATCTTATGATGAGTCAACATATGTTATCTATTTGAGTTGTTCATTTGGCACATGAATCTAGTCCTCTCATTGACCTCACTTGCCCTTAATGTCGATGCCCTTGTTACTAACATTGGATGTGCTTGCCAACAATAGGGATTCTTTTAGATCATCAACCACGACGTCCTAACTAGAGCATCGATAGAAGATAAAGGTGGCAGAGCAATAATTCTTCCATCAGAGCTTGGATGAGAAGAGGAACTTGAAGAGAGATGCTGAGATATTACAACGTCAAGCATATCAAGGACATCCGCATTAGAAGGAAGCGCTTCACTACATAGTAGAAGAACCCACTCTTGCCCTTGTTTTCGTTGATCCTGACAACAACTGTGGGGCACGTTGGGAGAATCAATGGCCTCAAAACCCTCCTCAAATGAGGTAAATTAATTTTTCTAATTACAATTGAAATTCAATTATTGAGATTTGTAAGAAATGATCAAAGTTCTGTAGGAAGAGAAGTGTGTAAGGAATATGCAAAGGACATGGTGGAATTGGGAATGAGATTGTTGAGGTTGTTGGTGAGAAGGTTTGAAGAATTTTTCAAAGACCAAATTAGTTTGGTGAGACTATATCATTATCCACCTTGCCCCTCCCCTCTCCTTACCCTCGACATGGGCATTCACATAGATCCTGAGGTCTTGACCATTGTTGGTCAGGATTGCCATTTGTTTTTTTTAAGTTTAACATATGTTGACTGAACTAGACTTATATGCTAAACAGATAACATTTGTAATACTCCAACTTCACTAACTAACAACTTAACCAAATACCATAATAATAAAAAGATTTATACTAAAAAAAAAAGAAATAATTATCATAGTATAAAGATTTAAAGTCAATTCTCAAATTTATTTTTGTAAAGATGATCATGATAGAAGAGAGCTATTTTATATTTTAGGAAACTACCATGATTACAAAAATTTCATCTACTAAATAAATATTTAAAATCCAGCCTTGATAAAAATAACTAAACTAGTTAAAAACGTTAAGAAGGTTATAAAAGTTTGTACTTACTATTTAAAATTATAAATAACACCCTACCATGATAGATAGAAAATAATCTAAGATAAATAAATATTTTATTCAATAAAAATTTAGGCTTACTAAAGCCCGAAGATATGCATGTCACATTTCACCATAAATATTTAAATATTTATTTTAATAAATGTCTTGACACTTAACAATTTATATTTAAAATGTTTACTCCAAATAAATTTATTAAGCAACCTCCATACCCTTAGGCCTTAACTAACAATACCCTTTTCAGTTATCAATAAATAATAAACAATTTTAAAACTCAACCCAAATGATAAATGAGTCTTATACCGGCAATTGATTATTTAACAAATTAAAATGGGACTTAAAGCTTACTCAAGCTAAGCCCCAAGCTCCTAGATGCTTCTCATTTATTCCGTAAGCTTACTTAAAATGTTGAAGAGAAAGATGAGCACTAACATTTCAGTAATCCAAAATTTAACCATACATGTACAAACTACAACCACACAATTATACGACAATTATACAAGTGTTTATGAGAATCATTCAGTAATGGCATAAGAATTTCATAAGATATAACTTATAACATATTAATATGCAATACCAATAATCTCCTTTATTACTCCATCCATCCTTATTTCGTTGATTGGAACCATAGACTTACATGCAGTCTGATTCACATGTTGGACTGACCAAACTTCTTCAATGCTCGAGATATACCTGGCCAAAGTCCAAAGGTATAGAGTTCAAGCCCAGACTATGACTCCCCTCCTTAAAGAATCCAACAAGAGGTGTCACTATCCCCCATTTCCTCCTTTACAAACATAATTAGGTAAGTATTGAAAAATGGGGCTTTGAAAGAGGCCAAACACTGTGCATATAGTGGTTGGCCTTGTGCACACAATGGAGGCAAACTATGTAGTCACAGAATCATAAACACATCATCATTATCATCTACTCATCAACCCATCTTCTAATGCATATCACACATGCACATCATTTACATCGCATACAAGCGTGCTTAAAAAGAAAAAAAAAATATCTCATTTGATCAAATCAACTTACAAGCATGTTTGAAAAAAAAAATGAACTATTTTTAAGTAACATATAATTTCCATCAAATAAACATTATTAATCTATATTTACAAGCATGTTTAAAAAGAAACACCAACAATAATATAAAACCAAACTACAAGTATGCTTGACAGGATTCAAGTAGCATAGAAATTTCTTACAATTAAATTTATAATTATACATATTTGTTATCAAACACAGAGTTTGTACACATATGAAAACACCCTAAGTTACCTGTATTTCTTGAGCTTATAAGAAATTATATAATAAGAATTCAAGTAGTAAGAGCTTTTAGAAAGAGTTTACAAAAGACACACATATATAAAAATATTAATATATAAGTTTAAAATTGTTAAAAAGTTACTCTAAAGTTACTCTACGATGCTTCTAATGTTACTCTAAGACCTCAAAGCTTCTTAAAATAATCCAAAATCTTATTTAAAATCCATATCCTTTTATATAAAAATTTATCTACATTTATTATTCTAACATGTGTATATATATATATATATATTTAACTCAAGCATGATCTGAAGTCTTCGTTTATCTCAAAACTTTATTCTTAAGCCTCAAACCTTGTTATAAGAGTTCTCAAATTTAATAACCAGTTCATTTATAGAGATTAAACCTTTTAAAACCTCAAAATGGATCTGAATAGATTATTAGAGAAATTATCTATCAGCAAAATGACACAAAACTCTTAAATAGATTGCACCTAGATTTTTTTCACTTTCAAAAATCTAAAAACTAGGAAGATGAATAAACAGAACCAAAAATGTAGAACATTTACCTTATCTTAAAAAATTTAAAATCACCCTTTAAATATCTGACTGTAACCTATGTTCTAAAATTATAGCCTTTGCTCGTGATGCTAGCACTGATGCCCCTCTGGTGTGCGGCGCGGAAATTACTCTCAATGCGTGTGTGTTAGGGTACATTAAATTAGAATAAGAGTGGGCTTTGGGCTCATACCCAAAATGCGTTCCATCATATATATATATATATATATATATATATATATATATATATAATTATATATTACATCATAATTAAATATTTATACATAGACAGGTACATATATGTATTATTTATTTATTATTTATTCATTCAAACTCTTTTTTTTCTTGTTATTATCATTATTATTATATTTTTTTACCTGAAATTAAATTTTTATTATTTGCTTTATCTTGATAAATTCTCCTTTTAGAATTATTTTCTTTATTTTCTAAACTCCTAGTCATTAACATGCTCAGCAATTCATTATACTCTTAATTTCATTTCCACATCTCAAAAATTATCTATAAATTAAAATTTAAAATGTTACAATATATACGGACTCATCATAAGATTTAATGTTACAATATATTGATGACGGGAGGGATTAACATCATCAACGGTAAAAACTATAGAAACTAATAACAATAAAAATAAAATATAGAGATTAAAAAGTAAAATATCATAAAATTACATGGACTAAACATTATGTGTTACCTTGTTCATTAATTTTTTTTTTTTAAATTTTATACAATACATATAAAACGCATCTCCGCCAGCGTCGGCGATCAGAGTAACCCAGAACAGGAGGCACCAACAGCTATTCATCACCGGAAGCAGATCCATTCATCACCAGACGGCTAAGGCTCCTTTCCGACATCGACATCGAGCTCTGCTGTCAGCTTCTCTTCCTTCTCATGATTCTTTTACCTCTTTTTTTTTTTTTTCCCTTTAAAACAATCTTTTCCCTTCAATTTTGCCTCATAAACTCCATTGGTGGCTGCGCCAAATCGGTGGTCAATATCGCTCTAGCTTGTCTGCCTGCACTATAGCTTTATTGGTTATTGACTTTAATGAACAATTCCCGTCGGCTCATGATTAATGTTGAATGCTTGTTTCAACTGAAATTATGGAGTGCGCACCGCATTTAAAGCTCCCCATCCTCCTTTCTATTTATTTTTTTTTCATAACCTGATTAAGGCGCTAGATCTCTTATAAGTCATAACTAAAATTGTTTGCTTCTCCTTGTTCTCTTTATATCAGTGACTGTATGGTTTGAATTATGGTCCACTTGTTGCTTGCACATTGATTGCTCAGATAAACATTGTGTACAGAATTCATTCCAAGTCGATTTTTCCTGAAAGAAAATATGTTTGGCAAGTAGGAAGAAAAGAAGGGTTCTTATAATTTGTGGTTGCACCTTACAGATTTTTCTGCTACCTTCAGGCATACTTGTGTCTTTCTTAACGGTCTTGTAAAATTTCAACACGCAGCATGGAAGGAGAATTACCCAACATAAAGAAGTGGATTGTTTTGTACCCTGTTTACATAAATTCAAAAAAGACAGTAGCCGAAGGAAGGAGAATTGGCCTGAGCAAGGCATGTGAAAATCCTACTTCTGCTGAAATTGGTGATTGCTGCGGCTATCTTAAACTTCCCTTTGCAATTGAGGTTTGTGCTGTATAATTTGGTGTTCTCGTTCAGTTTGAGTAAATTCCTATGCTGTATCGATACTTTAAAAAAAGTAAGCATACCTGTATTGGATTGCATTTAATATGATACTTGTACGATATAAGATGGGCAACATATTCTAGCATATGCATAATAAGTTTCCCCCCTCTCCCTTGAAATTGTTCCCTGAACAACTTAAGAACTTGCCAAAAAAACTCAACTTCTTGTCTTGTTATGAATATTTCTTTTACTTATAAAACACTTGTTTAGAACTCAAATTTTTGTGTATTGTCCACTTTTCATGTGTTAATTTATTGGATATATACATAACTAAATATTTATATCTCTCATACTTGTATCTTAAAAATTTTAAAATTTATCATATCTGAAGCATCGTATCTTATCATACTTGATACACATGTTTATTTGTGAATTTAATTCTATGCTTTTTCTTCCCAATTTTTTGTGTCTCTACATGTTCCCTTCAATGCTGTCCGTTGACTGGCCTATCGGTAGGGTTTTCACTTAAATTTTTCTTACAACTGCAGATAGACAAGGCATACCCACGAGATTTTATGCAACGAGGTAGAGTGCGGGTATTGCTGAAAAAGGAGGATGGCACGCTATATAATCCTTCCATTACATCCAGTAAGATAGCGCTTATACACACACACACACACAATTATTATTGCCGTTCTTATAGTATATGTACTTTTATGTAATCTTTAAGTGAATCTGAATCATTGCTGTAATTTGATCACTTCCATCGAATATCTCTTCGGTTATAGCCTTGAGTATAATGTGTCTTAAGTAGCGAAGAGAACATTTTCAACTGCTGGCAGAGGCTGCCCTCTTTTGTAGCTTTTAGCTGGCACCAATTTCATGGTCAAGTCACTAGCACAAGCACTAAATCTGGTTTAGTTCATCATGAAGGGTAGATTTGTTAAAATTTAAGTAACTTGGACCTGGACACTATTGATATAACTACTCGTGCTGAGAGTTTCAATATTATTGATCAAGCAAGTTGTTTTTTCATGGTATGAAATAGACACATTTGCGAGAAATATTGTTGATCAAGTAATGCCTTTTGGGTAGAAGTTTCTCACAATATCATTTGTTTCTTTTTTTCTTTTTAATCTTTAGCAGTAAATAGGTTTATTTAGCTTGAAATGCTGACAAGTCACAAAAACTACATCCGGTATTAAAATTGAATTATAAAAATGCAAATGTTAATGGCCCAAAGTCGAAGCAATTCTTAATTCTAAGGTTCCGTTTGGTTACTAGAAAAGAATTAAATAAAATGGATTGAAAAATAAAGATAAAAATGATATGATCAAAAGAGATGGTAAATCATATTTATAAGGGAGAGGGCTAATTTAGTTTATAGGGTCGTGAATCATGATTCATGATATTTTGGAAGATGTAATGATTTTTGCATTTGTAATATATATTAATGAATTTTATCATGTTTACTATGAGAAGAAGGGATGATTTAGTTCATTTTTGTATTAATTTTTTCAATTCATTTCATTCCTTTCTAATAACCCGACATAACATATATCTTCTAAATTGGATGAATCTGAATGTCTTTTTAATTTTCGTTTTGATTGTTGCAGGAAAAGGCCTGATGCTTCGTGTTGCTGAGATGGTGCCCAGACACCATGCAAGGGTAAAGAAGCAGGAGCCTGCATCAACATCAGCTGGACCCTCCAACAAATCTGGGAAAGGTGGAAAGAAGAAGAGATGAAAGCCTGTTTAAATCTATAACATGCTGATGTCAGGTTATCTTTTGCTGAGTTGAGTTTTTCCATTCCAATTTATTTTTTAAGTTATTGCGTCGAGTGTAAGCCATCTAGCTTCTACATCTTGTTTATAAAACATTTTCTCAGAGAATGTAGTCACTTAGGTTCTTCCGAATTCGCAAGAATTTCCATGTAGATTTGTCCAAGAGTAGAAACATCAAACAGGATTAAAGCGGGTTTATGGCTACTGGATAGAAAAGCTTTAGAAAAGTGAGTTTTCATGAATATTGTCTAGTGGTGTCGCCTTCTCGCAATTTGCTTTACATTGAATTAGGTTATTAGGAGTATGTTATAAACTCATTTAATGCGTGGCAAGTTTACAGCCTGGCGATAATCTGTATACCTGATAAAATTTACTTTTTGTTATACAACTTCTCGAGAGCAGCCGTGTTAAGGAAGAACGCTTGTTCCAATTTCCACATAAAAAAAATACAATTGGAATCCTTTTGACATTAAAAAAAAAAAGAATGTTTGGTAAATCTGGTTGTGTTATAATATTTGCTTCAGATCAGATGTTTACTGAACTAAAAGGAACCAAAAAGAAGCTTGGGACTGCAATATTGAACAGTGAATGTGGCAGTTAGAAAACCATACTGGGACCTGCTCATGGTTTCAGTTTTAGTTATAACCTGACTAAATAGTCCGAAGCCTCCACGGCGTTCATGGCATTGCTCAAGCTCGTTATTAAAGAATCTCAAGCATATATTTCACTAACATTATAAGGTGACGAAAATCAACTTACCTTTATTATTAAAAAAAAAAAAACCTCACCACGATTTTTTAATACACAGTAAACAAGTAGGCCTGACAAAGAAGTATTAGGTTGCCTGAGCAGTTGCCTCTCTCACGTTCTTGCATAAAAATAAGAATAAAGAATATACTGATTGGGGTGGGAACCATACGAGACTTAGTAGTAAAAGTAGAAGAAACGAGTTTTACTTGTTAGATACAGGATATTTTCACATCATAGAAAGTGAAGACATGGAGTCCACAATTATCAAAAGGAAACTCGCACACATACACGACAAAAAGACATAAAGGCAACACAAAACACTGCTATTTCCTCGTAGGTTAGGCTTGTTCTTTATATGTTTATATGTGTGTGTATAAGATCGGATGGATAGATGGTGACTGAGCCTCAAACAGCTTGCTGAAGAAGAAAGGCTTCATCAAGCAACTTGAGTGAAACGCAGATAGTCCTTCTTTGATGGAAGGTCTACCGTCTGGAAACCTTGAGGGAACATGGTATTGGCTTCCTCATTACTCACACTTGGGGAAATTACTACCGGATCCCCAGGTTTCCAGTCGGCTGGAGTGGCCACCTTATACTTGGAGGCCTTCTGCAGAGATTCCAACACCCTCACCACCTCTTCCATGTTCCTTCCAGTACTCGCAGGGTACAAAAAACTCAGCATTATCTGCAACAAATTAATTAATCCCACATCAAACAATCTTACCCTAAATAAGGTTTTGGGGGGGGGGGGGAGGTGGTTGCTTTGTAAGTCTCTTGACATATGCATATTAGCATGTTTAGTAAAAAGCTGCAGAAAAACGGCACCGTCAAGTCTGGGCCCACAATATGAAGTGCCCTCGAGGGAAGTGGGGTGCCATTGGAGTCTTTCTCAGCAGGGTCTACCATGTTGAGTTGCTTGATGATCTCTCTCGTAGGATCAGAGATGATAGGATAGTTCACCTTCGCACCTGGCTGCATGCAACATATATACACATATACATAATTTGAGGTCTCTGGTTTTCTGATGGACTCTGAATTAATTCTCCGTGAATGTTGCCAAACCAGTTAAATTGAAATGAGACAAGCGAGTGGGGTTCGTGAGATCAGTGAAAACTTACTGTATAGGCTTCAATGTCTTTGATCCACTCTTCGTGGGAATTGAGGTCGTCACAGGACAGACCTAACAGCTTCACTCCTCGCCTACTAAATTCCTCAGAGAACTTGGCCATCTTCCCAAGCTCCGTCGTGCACACCGGGGTGAAATCGCCTGCTTTTTTGCATCAATTTCATTAATAGAATCATCGAAAAGCTTAAATCGAGAGAGAGAGAGAGAGAGAGAGAGAGAGAGTATAGGTATAAAAAGCAACACTGAGCACGAACCAGGGTGAGAGAAGAGGATGGTCCAGGAACCAGAGAAGAAATCGTGGAGCTTGAAGTTGCCATGGGTGGTTTGGACTTGAAGGTCCGGGATAGTGTCTCCAATGGTGAGGCCTGGCATCTTTTTCTGAACGAAGCTGAGAAGAAGAAGATGATGACGAAGAGAAGAGGTTTCTAATGTTGAACGCTTTTGCGAGTGCTGGGAAAGTGAGATTATATAAACGGCAGAGCTGCCTGCATGAAGAGAACGTGTCGTGTTCTTGGCTGTGGGCTGTTGCCTGTTTCCCATTTGGACTCACTTACTCTCCACGTAGACGTGTCCTTTTTCTGACACCGTTTTATTTAAATTAATTCATTAATATTTTAATGTTTCAAAAATTATTTGGCAAAAATCACTATTTATCTTTTAATTTGATATAAAATTCCAATTCAGTGCTTTAAATTTATAAAATATATTTTTAGTTATCTAATCCTAAAAACATTACTCTCAAATAATAATTTTTTTTTGCTAATCATCATTCTTTTAAAAATTTAAACTATTTAAAAGTCAATATCAATGGTTGTTATTAATGAAATTAGCGATATTAAAATAAGAGATTTAAATGATATTTTAAAATTAATAAATTAAAATAAAATTCTGTGTAATATGAAAAAATTAATAAAAAAAATGTAAAAATTTATTATAAAATTTGATTAAAGTATAGGAATTTAAAATTATTTTGTTAAATAAAAATAAAATTGTTGATCTGATTGCTTTTCTTTCCTGTCCAAGTTTGTACACAATCATTTGATATCAAGTTTGCCCAATTCCAGTAGCTCTCCTTTCCAACTTTTGATCTTGCTTAAAAAAGGTTGAACTCCTTTCACCCCACTCTTCTACCAAGATCAGAAGTCTTGTAATCGCAACAATACTCTAAATTAAAATTTAAAGAATATTTCATCCATCTAGCAATACAAAACTCCACATGGATGGCATGAACACATAATAGTTAAAATTAAGGGTAAAAGAACAAAAACACTCAGAAAATAGTAAACTTGAGGCATTCAATATCCTAAAGTGAGAAAAATGATAAAAATATTCATATGTTATATGGGTGGGTGCAAAAGTGATTAAACTATTAACTTTGAGCTATCGCCATTAACTTTGACTGTTAAATGCTAACTGCGTATGCCACGTGTCAATTTTTGTGATGTGAACTAATAAAAGGGCAAAAATATCTACAAAATCATCAGTTAGGAGCAAAAATACTCATAACATTATTAGTGTTGGTGCAAAAATAATCAATCTATCAAATTCCTTAAATGTTGACTATTTAGCTGAAATTGACTATTTTTTTCTCTAATATGGATAAAAAATATTCTCAGATAAAATTTTTTGAAGGTTAGTTGGTCATTATATGAATATCATGTGAGAAAATGTCATTTTAACTAAATATAAAATTAAATTGCTTATTTCTTTGCAGCAGTGATGAAAATCATTTAAAAATTTTGAACCTATTATGAATGAAATTACTTAAGGTTGTGATAATGTTCTTGAGGTATGACGGTGTAACAGAGGTGTGCTCAGTCTCAATCTTTAATTGTGTATAACCTATCTTATTGTGTTGAATCTCAGGCTTTGTAGACAAAAAAAAAATAGTAAAAAGAGAGGAAGGAAGGGGGCGAGATACGTGGTGATAGAAAGAAATTATGTGGCATAAATTTTGATAGATTAGTCACTATTGCACCTACTAAAATAACATTATGAATACTCATACGATGATCGATCAACATCCATAAAAATTCATCTGAAAATATTTGCTTATTTGTATTAGCAAAAAAAAAAAAGTCAATTTCTACTTTAGTATCAACTAAACAGTCAACATTTAAAGAATTTAATGAATTAATCACTTTTGCAACTTTAAAAACGTTATAGGCGTTTTGACTCCTGACCGATAACTTCATGAATATTTTTACTTCTGAACGATAATTTCATAGATATTTTTATCTTTTTATTAGTCCACGATAACAAAAACTAACATATGACATGTATAGTCAGCATTTAACTGTCAAAATTAATGACATTAGGTCAAAATTAATGATTTAATCACTTTTACACCTACTCATATAATGTTTTGAGTATTTTGACCCTTTTTTCACTTTAAGATATTAAGTATCCCTAACTGATTATTTTGTGAGTATTTTTATCTTTTACCCTGAAATTAATGCTTAGAGAGGTCATAAAAGTTTCCATACTTGAAGTCTGTCGTTTTTAAGAAGGATAAAAGAGTGAAGTACAGTTTCATACCAAATAAAATTCAAAATCTAGCTCACTTATGTCGCCAAATTAAAAGAAAAAATTATACTCGATATTCTTAAAGCAGATACAGCCAGTTAAATATCCACTGAAGAATGAGTTAAGTTTGTGGCACTTAAAAAAAAAACGGAACACTAAAAGCCAACATGAAGCCAAACATTCTGCATGAACTTTATTTGAATCAAAACTGGATTTTTACTGTATAATAGAAAGAAAAAAAAGGCACGAATATCGTAATAGTGTCGACAGGCCACAGCTTGCTATCATATTTGAGAAAAATAACCAGCACCTAGCGTCCTTTAACCCTGAAACAAGAACAAGAATGAATGGGAAAAGAAATCAGATTAAGAAGGAGCACAGGTACTTTGGAAAGAAAAGAAAGCCATGGGAAATGGAGAACCTTGCTGGCGATGTTGTTTGAAAGCCAATCCAGTCCCTCGTACAATCCTTCCCCAGAAGTAGCACATGTACTTTGGATATACCTGATAAAAATAATTATGCACATGTAAGTGATGATGCAAAACTTTCACTGATAGTGGTGGTGGATAGATCATAGATGAGGATGAGTAGAGCCAAGAGGGGGTTTTCAACTTTACCAGTGGCGCTGTCGGAGAGAATGTAGACCAAGTTTATCTGTGATTTCAGCAGCATTCATTGCATTGGGAAGGTCTTGTTTGTTTGCAAAGACAAGCAAGACAGCATCCCTTAATTCATCCTGTCCATAAAAGGAATTCGAAATCAAATTATTTTATTAATTGGGTGCACATTTCTGACAGGAATATCACACAAACACAGATAAGCCTGAATACCAGATCAAGCCCTACTAGGCTCTTACCTCATTCAGCATCCTGTGCAACTCGTCCCTAGCCTCAACAACACGGTCTCGATCATTGCTATCCACAACGAAGATAAGTCCTTGTGTGTTTTGGAAGTAGTGTCTCCACAAAGGTCGAATCTAAAACCATCCATGTGATCAAAACACAGTTTAGAGATGACACATAAATAAGCTACAAACGCATTAGCATTTTCAGGCAGACAAATCTAGGAAAGAGGGAATATCAGATCCATCATTTTCTTTTATCCAAGCTGATCATGTTTGATGTGGAACTAAAATAGCAAATCAAACGTCAAGACAGAGCTATTTTTTCAGACGAAAAGGCTAACATTTAGTAATGGTGTACCTAAAAAGTGAAAAGCATCCGAATAGTTAAAAAAAAAAAGGCAAGAAAAAAAGAAAACCAAAAGTCATGCTGCTAAAATCTAGACTTCAGATCAAATTATCTTCATTTAAGACGAACAACCACTGCGAAAATCACCAGTAACAAAGAAACCAAATTGAGGCCCTGACCCCTTAAAGCTCAATCACACTTCATTAATAGAAGCCTTTAAAGTGATATTAATATGGAAAGACATACATAAATTTTTTACCAATGACTTTGAAGTTTAGAAGAAAATGGGGAATAAAAATTTAGAAGAGATGCCACTCGCCTTATCTTGACCCCCAACATCCCACACAGTGAAACTAATGTTCTTATACTCTACAGTCTCCACATTAAATCCTGCAAATATGATTTAGCAAACAATCAGTTTCAAAGGACAGTAATCTTAAAGAGAAGAAGATACAAAATAAATAATTTAATTTTGAGGATTATAATAGAAGATCCTATAAAATCCCGAAGAAAATCAAACTTCTAGATTTCTTAGTTTGATCCTCTAAGATTTTATCATTAATGGTTAAAAGGAAAACCTACCAATAGTAGGGATTGTGGTGACAATCTCTCCCAACTTGAGTTTATACAGGATTGTGGTTTTACCAGCAGCATCGAGACCCACCATTAGAATGCGCATCTCTTTCTTAGCAAAGAGACGGGAGAAAAGCTTGGTAAAAGACAGCCCCATTGTTTATCTGTCATTTCCAATGATCCAAATCGTAGTAAGTCATTAGATGCCAAAACACTAATTCTTAGTTGTAGAGGCTCCTGATCAATCAATATATATACATAATCTATAGGTATTGTACCCATTCATAAGTTACAAATAGTATAGCATATTTGTTTGACTTTGTGCAATATACAAGTAACACGTCTAGTAGAGATTTGAGAAGGTATAACATAAAAAAAAAGACGTAAAATAATTTAAAATCACTAGTTTCAAAAGAGAATCTGCAATGGAAATGTTGGTGACAATATAGTTTAGAGAAAACTTGGAATAAAGCAGTTCCTCTTGTAATTCACGTTTCAACTTCCATAGAAGCCACTAGCTATTTAAACAGCTATCGTCCTTTATTTTTGATTGTGTAAAAGTCAATGGACGTGTCCATGGAATGAGTTTTTGATGCACTGGTTACAAATAGGTGAGGTTCTCAAGCCAACCATAGTCCCTGCGGTCAGGAATCTCCAACAGGATTGTCTTGTTACAATATGCATAAGGTATACAGAATATAGGGGAAAAACAGAAGAGACGGACTTTCAGTGACTCATTAACATAGATACGTGATAACAAATCCAACTTTTTTTTTTTGGGTGTGTACAAACAAACCCACAATATTTGCAATATATGGAATAATTTCAAAGGGAAGAAATTGAATATCTTGAATCAGAACAAAAAATCGCAACATAGCAACCAAAAAAGCCGAGAACGCATAATAATGCAATCTTACCACAAAACCCAGTGCATATTCCGGATCCTATGGGGAGAAACTTCAACAAATATGTCAGATCAAAAAAAAAATATATATATATATACACACACATATAAAGGGTAGCTAAGATGGTATGGTTATTCAATTCAAACACGAAAAATCAACCGAATGACATCGCCCCTCGGCAATCGACCAGAAGATCAGGAGGAAAAGAAAAGAGCTTAGATCGAACGACTGAATCTAATCATGTCAATAACTAAATCCAAATAAAAATTTTGCACGCATGTCCGAATCGAACCCAATTCCAAATATGAAGAGATCAAATCGATCATCTTAGAAGAATTGAACCAAGAATTGAAAGAGAGCTTACAAAACGGGAGCAAAGGAAAGAGCAGAGAGAGCGAGAGAGATCGAAATGAGGTGTCGTTTAGGGCGAAGGCTCTGCTAGATTCAGATTCAGAAGAGCCAACGAAAGCTTTGTTTGTCCGTCTATAGAGGGGCACACCCAAAACAGAACTGTGAGCAATGCAAATTGCAAGGTCAGATTATAACCACGAGGACGTATGATGTGAAAGCTACCTCCGTCTTCCACACTTGAATGGCTGGGCATAAATTATTCTTGTCACTCGAGGCTTTTGCCAGCAGGGCAAGGCATCATTAGTGTATGTACTTTCTGTATAATTTAATCTGATTGTACTATTCTACGTATAATTAATACATGAAAGTTTAAAATTACTAATCATTTATCCTTATAATTTTATTAAATATTATTTTTAGTTTTTATTATTTTTTAGCATTTTAATTTCTAATTATTGATCTTTATAATTTTATCATATTTTATTTTTAATTCTTATAATTTTTCAGTGTTTTCAGTCCTTATAGAAACTGAAAACACTGAAATTATAAGGATCTGAGTAATAAATATAATCTAATCTTGTTAAAATTTTGAGAACTAAAAAAATTATAAGAACTAAAAACAAAATTTAATGAAATTATATGAATAAATGATTATATTTTTCTATTTATAATTATAATTCAGTCACATAAAAAATGACTAAAGTTACAGTGCTGACAAAAGCTTAAAATTATTTTCTTATCATTATTAATATGAAATGATCAATATCAATATTGAATATGAAATAACTTTGTAAAATTCTTCTCAAACTCTATAGTCTATACTCAGACAGAAATTGACATATGGGGGCCAAAAATGAAATATTACAAAAAAGTGGGATGCCAAAAATAATTTTTGCATATTGAAAAAAAAAAAAGTACTAGCATATTTTCAAAAGGAAGTTTGCGATATCGGGCAAGCTCCACTACATGCCCCCCCGGTCCGTCGCTGACTTCACATAATTATAATTATAATATAGTAATAGGTAAAAAAAAAAAAAAAATTCTGATCAGTTGTTTTAAAGTCTTTGCAAGCATGCTTTTTCTTTTGGGGGGGGGGGGGGAGAAAATTGACCGAACAGTTAAGACATTAATGAGAGTAGTTCCCATATGATTGGATCCCAACGAAAAGTGTCAATTTTTCTGACAGTACTATTGAGAACTGAGAAATTCATTTGAAATGGAAAGAAGCAAAATAATTTCAAGCAAGGTAAAATTTGCTTAGTGCTCTCATGTTTGGTTTAACTTCTCAATCATTGCTGCAATGCAAAATGCATTCACAGGCTAAGCTCAAGTATATTTTACCTTTTAAAAGCCTAACTTCCAATTATTAAACTTTCTCCCAACATGTTTAAAAGATGGAAAATACCACGCGGGAACAGGAAGGAAATGAATTCCTTTGATCACCAAACAAACGTTATGTACAAATTTGTCAGATATATGTTGGGCTTTGGAACGACGTTTGATCAGCCTCTAACTAACAACTAGCACTAATGAAATCTGACTGGCCACCCCTCCGAAAAAGAAGCAAGAATGCCAAAATTGTGTAAGAACCGGAGCAAGAGCATCGAAAATATCTGAGACATGGTTTGCTTCATCAAACATTCCCATGTTGCACGGTGCAGTGATTGAAAGGATGCATCAAGTTCTTGTAAAGTGAAGAGGAAGTGGAATGGAATCTGAGTTTTGTGCCTTACAGGGCATGCAGCTTCTTCAAGCAGATGATCTCAGACTCGGCCGTCTTGTATGGATAATCTTTCTGTTAAAAGGGAGGTAAATGAGAACATAGAGGTTAGCTGAATTAGAATGATAAGATTCAAGACCTGAATAACAACAAAATCACCTAATTCCTGACCCACTATGGTTTGCATCAGATACTAACCGATTATCCTAATAACCAATTATCAAATATATTAATTAATTCAAGTATTAGAGCCATCATTCTCAGCTATCAGCTGATTTTTCCAACATCTAAATAGTAGAGAGTTTAAAAACAGACTCAATGAAGGAACAGAGGTAGGACGGGAGCATATTTGTCAAAAAGAGAGCCATTCTAGAACCCAAAACTTGCTTAAAACTCGTAAACTTTTGCATATAATGCAGATGGAAATTGCACATTTGAATAATACGTGATAAAAGACAGAGCTCTGATCATTTCAAGTAGCCATTATAGAATAAAATTGACGCCAGAATAAATAAGAGAGATGTGACATACTTATCAGTTCATATGTAACAATCATGGTAGTTCCATAGAGTGACATATTCAAAAAACGAGGTCCAAATCCCCGGTAAAAACCCCACCATCCATCTTCCTTGAAAAGTGTCTTTGTTGTCTTCAGCACTGATGGTCTTCCACCACCATGGTTGTCCATAACCTTTGTGCAAGTCAAAAAGAGGCAAACCCAAATTAACGATATTAAAATCAACACTAGGAAAAGAAAGAAGCGCCTCCTGTGAATGGGACATTCAACTAGTTGACATGCCAATACAATTTCAAATACAAACAAAAAAACCTGGCTATCTTGCTGAAGATGGAATGCCACAGAACAAGAAGCTTTACATACCTGAAGCCTTGTTTTTACAGTATCTATGGGGGTGGTTATAACAGAGGAACAAGCACCAGCTACCATCCCTGCTGTAGCCTGGACAATCACCATTTCTGTTTGCGAAGGTTTTTTCTCCATGGCATCTCTATAGCCTAAACTCCTGAAACAATAAGCATATATAAGTAAAACATGACAAAGGAAGTAATAAGCTATAAGATTATTTAATAGATTGGTCTAAGATAGAATTGCCTCCAAATGATGTGTTGTGCAGCACCATATGAACCCCACCAAAGTGCAGATGCTGGTGACTGGGTTACAGCAGTTAATCCAAAGCCTCTATAAATGCCACGAAAACCCTCAGTCTTCACAACTTTACGGACAATATCAAATGGCCCACTGCAGTACGTAGTTCCAGGAAGACCTTGTACCATTAGCCTCTGACAGATCTGACAAGTCAATAAACAAACTCTACATGGTTACAGAACATATTATCAGAATTTCATGAGTAAGTTTTGTACAGCTCATACCTAGTAAAGTTAAAGGACAAAGAACTGTTAAAATAGAGAAGGATTACATACCACATCCAAAGGCACAAAGTATACACAAGATACCAGATTTGAGAACATGCCTGCCACTCCATTTGCCAGGCCAATACATGATGCTTCAGGCATGTCAAAATCTTCAGTATATTTTAACATGAAGTCTTTTGACAACTCAAGTGATGTTAGAGCCAAGACCCGACCAGGCATCGATCCAATAGCAGAAGTACCAAAACCTCTAAAGAGTCCAGGAATACCATCATTTTTTAATATGCGAGTAAATACTGATGTTCCTCTCATGTGGGAGAGGCCAGATCCAGCTACTTGCATTCTTGTCTTTACCACTGCTGTTGGATGAAGCAAGGCTGATTGAGCAGTAAAGAGTACAGCACCAATGACGTGAAATTTGCTCTTATCCAACCTGATTAGACCATTGAGATTATAAGAAATCAACAACATCAAATTAGAGTTTGAGGGAAATAGAATATAGGAAAATATATATGTAAAAAAAAAAAACAGAGAGATAGAGAAGATAAAAGAATCACATCTTAAGATCCATCTCGTACAAAACCAAGATCTCGATATTAAAAAATATCAAAGTTTTTATAATAATTAGGGGCATAAAATTCCTCTAAGACCCAAGGAGGACAAGCTTAAAGAAGAAACTATCACTCAAACATGGAAGTGAATGTTGATCTAAGTTGCTAAAGTCTATTGCTTGTAGGATATCCTCAAGTCTTATTGATACACCAAGCTCATCTACTACGAAACTACTAGCACTTGGGAAAGCAACTTGTGTTACATAGGCCAACTTGAGAATTTGCCAAACTTCTAGTAGTGTAGAGTTGCCCACACAGACAAAACGATAAAATGAACTGACTAGCGTTCATTAAAGATATAGGAATGTAGGAATAAGATAAGTTGGACATACAAGCAAGCATATGTACGCTGTATGCATGGGATACCATCTTACCATCATTTTCACGCTCTAAAGAAAATGTACGAACTCAACAAGTTTTTAGACGTACTATATGCGAAATTCCTACCTACTCGATGTACTGAAAGAAATGAGGTAGGAATCCTTCAAAGTAAAGAGAAAAAAGACGTATTTAGGCAATTTTTGTTTCTCCTTCGTCCAACATTCCTTCTCCTGCGCCTGCGTTTAACGCCAACCTCACCAGTCACCCCCATCAATATGTGTCAGCCCTTTGAATTCCCTCACGCAAAATACTGTTTTTGCTTCTTTTCTATCGTTAAGAGCGAAACATCGAAGCCACCCCATATACCAAAAAAATGCTTCTAATTCTCCAAAGTCTACAAATCAAAGGAAGAAAAATAGATAAGAAAGTTCGTGATTAAACCTGTCCCAGTTGATATCTGTATCGGCCAGCGCAAACTCTGTCGTGGCAGCAGCCTCAGTTTCCATAGCCTTCAGCCTGTACGTGCTACTGAATCAAGAATAAAATTAAAGAACACTCCCTCTCTTTCACTCTCTTTGCTGCCCGTTCCTTTCCTTCCTAGCTAGTCTCTTCAGAAAGGCGGTTGAGGATGCTTGACTGTGATTACCGTTTGCTCTTATAGAGGCCTAGCAGTTTGGAATTGTCCAGCAAGTTTATTTGCTTTCTAGAAGCCGAATCCCCGCCTGAGCAGGTGTCAATTTTGTTTGACCGAAAGCAATGGGGCATTTTCCATTTTAGATTTTAGATATTGATAAAATAATAATAATAATAATAGAAAAAATAATAATAAAATTACTTTAAATTATATAAATATTATTTTGATCCTTTAAAATGTCATAATTTTCTTAAGTTTTTATGAACTTTTTTATCATTAAAAAATTAATAAAAATTACTAAATTATCTTTAATTCAATTATCAATTATTATTCATAAATTTTGTTTCAAGCCTTGCAACTTTTTTTTAAATCATAAAAATTTAACAATAATTCAAAAACTCACATTTAAAATCTTGATATTCTTTAAATTTTACAAATATCAATTATCATTTATAAGTTTTATTCTTATATTCACAACTTTTTTTTTAAATTGTAAGAATTCAGCAGCAATTCACAAGTTTAAATTAAGAGTAATTTAGTTATTTATATTAATTTCTAACAATAAAAAAGTATTTAGAAATTACAGAATTATGGCATTTCAAGTTATTAAAATGTCATTTACATAATTTAAAATAATTTTATTTTCATTTTCCCATAATAATATATCTTGTCTAAAATATTATTATCGTGGTCCCAAATTATGTGTAGAATATAAACTTCTAAAAAATAACATTCATTCAATATGATCATGCTTAATTATCATCTTTTAATTATAAGCCACTTGATTAATGAATAGTAGATTTATGATATACGTTGAGCATCAATGGAATGTTAAATGTGGATGTTGGCCTGTGTGTTTATATTTGCCACACTTTTATATATTTAAGTTCATGTGTCTTAATTGTTGAGATTGTATAATCTCACTTTCGTTGTTAATATTTTACCAAGAGACAGTAAGGGCAAGGGTAAAGGGGAAGCATCTAAAGACAGTGACACAGAGTATTCATTGTAAAACCTCTAGTTGGTATTGTGTGTATGCAATTTTGAGTACTTAATTCCTGTTGGATATTATAAAATATTCATGGATATTTCAAAAGGAATTGTTATAATTCCTAACCTAAGGCCTCATTGCAAATGACTATAGTGGATCATAGTTTTGGCCACAATAAGTGGTCTTGTTACCATAAGCCGTAATGGATGTAGTTTTTAGCCTTGGTGGATGGTCCTACATTGTGAAAATTGACTCTTTAATTATGTTTAATTTATTAAAATGCTCAACTACTTTTACAAGATTTTGTAACCCTATGTTTGGAGGTGTTTGTAGACTACCAAATCCCTACATAAGCTTTTCTACTCATTCATCTATCCTTTTCATGCATTTTTCTTCAAGTTTTGCTGAGTTAGGTGTTGTTGTTCAAATTCTTAGTGGAGTTTAACTCATTTTAATGATTATAATAGAGTCTATGGATGAAGTTTCTAATCATTGATGATTGCTAATGGCATTAGATGGGTGTAATTAATGACGAGTTTAGAGTTGAACCTAATGCTAATTAATTAAGTTTGAGCTAAGAAAGTTGGATAACAGAATTTATTAATCTTAATGAAGTTTAAATAAGTCAATGGAAGTGAATTTTATGGTTGATTTTGGTTAATCGTGCTTAACAAAGATTTAAGGCTTGAACTACTATTAGACTTAATTAATGACAATTATTCATTGGTGTTATTTGTTAATTATTAATTATAAATTGATTGCTTTAGAGCTTGTTGTGTTTGTTGGAAAGCTCTCTTGGAATCCAAATTATACTCATAGGGTGGTAACCCGAGGGTGGGGTGGAGATAACCATAAGTTAAATTATTGTAGATAATTGTTGTTCATAATTATGAATTATATGTTGTTAATTATGATGAATTTGATGTTATGAATATGCAAGTATGTTAGTATCGATGATTGAGAATGATGTGGCTATGATTAGTTGAGTTTTATGATTAAGTTGTAATATATGCTTAAGTGAATGCTTTACATTGTGATAAGTATGAGCACATAATTATGACATAAGATTAAGTATTGGTTAAACAATCTTGACTCGATAGTATGTACTTAGTTATACAATAAGTTAATCAAGTTTGCATTTGTAATATATCGTTGAATAACATGAGTATGTTACATGTTCATAGATGGGCAGGAGTTCACCTAATGACTAAGAGCAATATGGAAATTCTATATGATGTAACCTCTATCAAGATTTATGCACGATAGTTGGCATATTTTATAAAAGTGTTTATGTTCATTATTTCTTAGGAATGACACATGTTCATTGATGATATGATTATGATTAAGCGTGGTTAATGATAGAGGTCATTGTAAGGTTGATCTTGTCTTCTGATTTCTTTCTTAATTTCTATAAATGGTCTTAAGTGTTGTGCTTAATGGTAGTTAATGTCAGAGGATATTACAATAACACCTTGTGTGATTGGAACTTTACTTTATAAAGTATGCTCTTTTATGCTATTACAAATTACAAATGATTAATTACCAGATCAAGTTTTACGAGTTCCCAAAAATTCCGCACCACAATCTCACAACCTACTTATAAAGACATTGCAAGGATATGGTTTGGCCTACATTTACATCTATAATCCTACTCTGACTATTTGTGTTTATTGTTTAGTTCTCTTGTTTATTTATTTTTCCTTCTTTTAGGTTTTATCTTATGCTTCCAATTACAACCCTATTATTGACAAAAGTGTTGTTTTTTTTTTTTGTAGAAGTTGGCATTATTCTAAACAACTTCACAATCTTATAGAAATGCATGTTAATGTTGCTCTCTACTTTTCCTTTTTACAGTCCAAGCCTATAGAGGTTGCAATGTCATGCAAAACATGCATGTAACATCTAAAAAATTTAATCCTAATTTATTAATGTAATGAGGGTAATTAGTGAGTTAATGAGGTGTGTGGCCAGAGGCGCTTAACTTGATAAAATTGTTGAGATTTTAGCTCTAAAAGTGGGTCCAGATCGATGACGGGCCATTCGAGCGAGGAAAAGAGGAAGAAAAAGTGGAGAACCGTTCTCTGTGCCAAACACCACAATGCGTGCTTGGTCTACCATGGTGCGCAGAGACAATTTAAATGTAACGAAGTCTTCTATGCCATGCACCCCGGTGCACGGCCAAAAATCAAATATATTTGATTCATTCTATACATGAAAATAGAAGAGAAGAGGAAGAGGAAAATGAAGAGAACACTGAGGCTCTACTAGGGCACATATATTAGCTCTCATTGTTGACATTTTGAATCTCCTAAACTCTAAGGTAAGTAATCTAAGCCTCATTCTTCCTTTCTCTCCCACATTTATGATGATTTATGGTAGGGTTTGAGTTGGGAGATGGATTTTCGATTAATAGAAGTATGGGTCCAATTTCATTAGTTAAAATAAGCATAATAGGAGTTGTTTAATGTATTGAAACACCACATTAATGATTTTAGAAGTGGTTGGTGTAATGTTCACCTTGATATTACCAAAATTTACCACATAATCACAACAAACAATCATAATTAAGAGCAAGGATTGCTCCTAACCTCACATTATAAATATAAGGGTTAAAACTAATAATTCTTTAAAAATAATTGTGGAATAATTGGGATCCCATAAAAAACTCTCCAAATTAATAGTTTGAGCTCAAACTTAATGATTTATATAGGTATTGGAAGTATGGAAAAGTTTTGGAAAGCAAAACACTTCAAAACAGGGCCAAAAATGTCATTTTTGAGTGTTTTGGTCCATGCGCCACGACATATGGCACAGAAAGCTAAGTTTTTTCACTGTACCGTATGCCACGGCTTGCGTGAAATGCACCATAGCGCACGTGTCCATGACAACAATGTTGTGACAGCTTTTCTAGATGAACTTCAAACATGCGCCATTGTTACATCTAATGTCCAATTGGAGTGATTCAAGCGCCTACGTGAAGCTTATTTAATAAACTAACTAATGGTATAAGCTTCGTTACGATCTAACACCATATGAGAATTTTAGACACTCAGATGTAAAAGTCAGTTTTTTAAAAAAATTTAACCATCCAAGTACCCAAAACTCATAACTTATACCATTAACCCATTGTAAGGCTTGAACCAAGTCCAATAGACCAAAATAAACTTGAGTGACTAATTAAACACACAAAAACATACCAAATCTAAAACTTGGCCACTCAATAGCCTTTTTGCCCAAAATGGTCAAAATACACAATTAATACTACAAGTACTATTTGGCCTCTATTATCACATAATACACTACAAATGCATTGTCACCACATAGATAAAACATTCCTTACACTTATAATAGCATTTTAGCCTATCACCATAAAATTCTCACATATTTACATCATATACAACATTGGACTAAAATACAAAATAACATAGCATAAAGCAAGTGCAACCAATCAAAATGATATACATTCCTAGTTGGCAACATATAATATCATATAACAAGTTTATGTACACCACTCAAATCGAAAACGAGCTTTACAATGAGAATGTAACAAGTATGCTAGCCCTTGCCAGATTCCCTCTCTGGCTCAGTCTCACTGGTGGAACTTGTAAAATGATAACGACGGGATGAATAAAAATGTCAGTAACTAAGATAATCTATATTATTGATTAATAAGCTAAGTTATAAACAAGCATTAAAATAAGTAACATAATCACATCATATAAGATCACTATAAATTGCATGCATGATCCCTAACCATCCAGTCTTTCAATACTCTCGACCGAATTAGTAGGCTATTTCACAGAACCAAACTACATGTGTGGGCCCTAAGCTCACCATCCGTGGTAGGACTACCTGGCTAAGGTGTCTTAAATCACTTATGGACTACTGTTTCCCCCTATTATAAGTAATTAGGGTGTCTTTACTCCAACACCGCATCTTACGAATGCTAAGGAGTATAGTCTCTAACTCCGCACCTTTTTGGATACTAAGGAGAGTAAATATCCAACACTGGACCCATTTTCAGGCATTAAGGAGAGTAAGTACTGCAC